CAACGACAAGAAGCAGCTGATGAGCTGTCTCGAAATTTGTTGATATCAATGAGTTCTGCTGTTTTTGCCTGTTTTCAATTTTTACCGGGGAAAAACACCTTCAAATTATCTTTCACTTGAAAGGACTATTTAAGTAGTATGCATTTTACTAATTGATTTTGACAGCCCTTATAAAGTCAAATATATTCTACAGAAAGAATAGACAAACTTTTTCCTTGCTGTACTCCTTTATTAGCAACTTACGCCCTTATTCAATTTTATACTTAAAGGAAGTGTACATTTCGATTTTGAATAATGCTTTTCTAAATTTTCGATTAGTTCTGAAACATATCGTCCATTACAACTGAAAACAAGTTTCCTAAGCTACGTGCTGTGTAAATCCTGTGTACTGAGAAGTAGGTTTCTCCCTACAGTTTGAGAGGCTTTTCAAATTTTTCTTACCAAATTTGTCAATACATGTAGGTTGTACCATATATATTAGAGGCAACATCAATAAACCAAAGGATATGATGTATCATGAATGAGCACTTCACAGGCATAAAGAATCTTATAGCTAGACATTTTTCAAACCAGAAATATGCACCTGCTTTGCTTAGGCAATTTGAAGAGCGCGTGATTTGCTAACAAAGCAGTACAAGAGAGAAAATGGTTATCAGTATTATCTGAAAAATATACTCGGCTTTATAAGGGCTGTGAAAATCAATTAGTTAAATGCACACTACTTAAGTAGTAATACTTTTCCGAAGGTGTTTATTTTTGGTCTTCTTAAAATGCCGGCATTCAGTCGTGACTGAAATGAGTTGAGAGTAGGCTAAACGATAATCAGCATTGCAACCTTACTTTATGCTGGTTTGCGAGCGTTTGCCAATCTTTCACAAGTTTTGGAAGTTTGACTAAAATGCTGTCCGTACTGTATTCCTTCTTGCGTTACTTTAGTGTATTCCCGGTTATAATAACGCCTGTGCATTCGAAATTGCCACAAAGTCTCAACAGTCGGAACCTGGAGGATGGGCATCTGGTAAAATGGCCCAGTACATATATTCACAACATGGGAATTTCATTTTGATGAGTGTCTCTGTGACCTGACTTTTCGAGTGACGCTTTTAGGTACCGAATTCAAAAAACCGTAGAGTTTTTTACGTAGCTTGGATGAGTTGCTGGTTACTAACACAAGCAAGAGAAAAAAACAAGGAGAATGCAATCACATGCGTCTAAACAATTTACACATGCCAGTAGTCGTAGGTTTTGAGGCCTTGCTGTATAATAGAAGAAGTTAGCACAATTCAATGCTGAAGGCACGGAGTACAAATGGTCCTGCTTAATCTTGCTCTTTAATCATATCTGCGTAATTTATAATAGCTCCAACCGGATGCCTGGGTCTTGTACATTTTAGGACTAGCACTCGCAGACATCACTACGGTCTCGCCAATGACCGAGCACTCACTCACCTTCGGTAGACTAACCCACTTGCCATTTGAACATTAAGAGTGCGCAAAGCAAGAGCAAAGTAAATGGTAGTCAACAGCGCTAGAGACAGACAAGTTATTGTCGTATAATTAAGATAAATAATTCATCCTAAATACGGAACTTCTTCTGCATGGTTGCACCAAGTCTTACACCAAACAACCTCTGGGTGTATTCGTAATAGGTTGTCTACTAAAGTTCTCTGAAAAACATTTTCAACTAGGAAAGATCGTATAAGTAGAGGTGCAACAATGCATATCCTGCGTTAAAACTGGCGATATTTCAGACATGCTAGGATGTTTTGTTTTCAGTGCGCTTCTTTTTGGTCATCTTCAACAGCCATTATCAACAAAATAATCCTACTGAAATATGCCCTTCATCTATTTAATTCCTCTGCGTTTATACATTCAAATATATTTTATGAGAATTATAACCACAAATAACGTTTTTTACATATTTTGCAGCAAACTCCTTCTGTTTCATATATTATAATCAAAGGAAGATAAATGTATGTTTTAAATACACTTCCCAATTTCACCTATAAACAGTCTCTGTCTAGTAATAAGTAAGCTGTCCAATTAAATATCGACCTAGAGGGCTGAAACTTGATAGGCAAAAAAGAGTAGGAGCTACTAGTCTTAGGTGCGGTTGCATGGTATGGTGGAAGTGGGGGAGAGGGAGTTATCGGAGCAGTGCAGTTCATGTTTCAGTGAAAGCCTGTGAAACCTGATTAAAGGGGGGAAATAGGAAAGGGTGCAGTTGGTCAT